TAAACTCAAGTAGGGAGCTGCGTCAGCATGCGAAGGCTGCAAAGGAACAAGTAAAGGTCTATTCCATGCTGATAAGAAAAGAAAAGAAACGCAACGTTCTTCAGGTGTGAGGGGAGAGAGTAAACAACCTGACACCTGAAGAAGAAACCTCACACCTGCATGGAATAAACCTTTACTTGTTCCTTTGCATCTTACAGTAATGCTGACATTCGTTATGGGTTAAATGCTATTACATACTGTACTTTCAATAAATAATAACATATAACTTCAGTACAAAGTGAATTAATGAATAAAAAGACACTGTATCTCTTTCCTTCTTCATAATCTCTCAAGTCTCATCCTCAGAAAACCCAGAAAATGTTTTAAAGGGGGGCTCTAATTTTTAAGGGTAGAAACAATAGTCCGTCACTGACATATTTAAGAGAATTAAGATAAATGTTTTAAGTGTGGGGTGTGAATTTGGGTTAGGTAGTACAGTTCGGGTTAGGCCTAGCTGAGGGGACAGGTAGGGGATGAATTAAAGGAAGGGAAAGGTTTGAGAATTTTAGATTTATGAATTTGGCCTGTATGCAGACCTATGCTGAGCAAAGATATACAGGGGTATGCGACTGTTGGGTTGTGCTTTGGATTAGGGTGGGGCAGCAGGTTGGAGGTAAGGGTGAGGCTACAGATATTATTTTCTAAATATTATTTTGTAGTGCTATAAACAAGATGACACACAAAAATGAAGCTTATGAACCTTAAATAAGAGTGCTTCCACTGTTTACTAATTAGTACAAGCTTGAATTCAATATACTGACTAAACATCTTCAGAGTGATTGTTCTGGATACGGCCATGATTTCCATTTTTTCACAAAGCAGGATATGTTGTCAAAGTGTGAATTAAAAACGCAAGAGATACTACAGCACATAATTGCTGTGGAGTTTAATCTGAATTGTCTTCACAATCCGTACAGGCAGGAGCTGAATTCAGACCCTGGAGGACATATGTGATCAAAAGAAGGAATAATGGATATTAATTATTCTTCCTGACTTCATGTACTGTATATATAATTTCTATAAATATATATTCAGTGATGAAAATGTCTAAGGCTATTTTTATTTATTTGCTTAGAAGATGTTTTTGTCCAGGGAGACCAGTGGTCCCCAGGCTTACTCCTGGAGAGCCCCTATCTAACAGGGTTTATTATAGGAAGCTATTAAATTGCACTTTGTAAAGCTCTGGAAGAGCTAAAGTGTAGTCAATTCAACATGTGATTTGTTAAATTAATTAACCGAACACTAGGCAGAAAACTGAAGAGCTTTCAACCCTTAAAAGACCAGAGAAAGATTAAGATTTGTTCCTTCATTGAACAAGCCCTTTGTTCTACTGGACTGACTATGAGCAGGTCAACCTTGTGGACTTCTTCAGACTACACAGTAAACATGAACCAGAGGTCACAAGTAGGAACTATGTGGAAGCATATCTACACGAACTAAAGGGCTGTGGGAGTCTGGAACGGTTATGTAGTTGAAGCCCATACCTTGGCTTCCTTAAAACACAGCTGGGAGGGATCCTCAGATCAGCTATAAACTACCAAGCAGAAAAGAGGGGCTGCATGGCCTCCTCTTTCCTATAACCAGTGTTGCTGAAGAACTGCGAAGGCTCCAGTTATATCAGCATGGGAAACAACAAAGAACCTGGACAGACTCATCAGTATTAAAAACTAAACTTTATTTTGAAACACAGGACCAGGTTTAACATCTATAAAACGCTTTGAAAAGAAAAGTAATGAAAAATGAAAGCTTATCGAGAGACACGGGAGGCAGAAATGTATCGGCAGGTCTCGTCCTCCTGACCTGTAGGAAGACGGAGTTGCCCAGCACCTGTGACAACAGCTGGCCAGGGGACAGACTGGCAGGACGGAGCACGTGCAGCTCCTCGCACGCCAGGTCTCCACAGCTCCACACAGCTCTGAGAGCCTGACCTTTGTCAGCCACCATGACCCCTGCACTGCACCACTGCTGGTACAACTATGTTCACCTGCCCTTCGGTTTCAAAATCAGCTTCGGCTTATCGCAAATACTGAACAAAAAGAAACGCCCACAGCACATCGCAACAAAATCAGAAACGAAAGATTCATCGGCTTTTAAAAGGAACTACTTAATAAAACAACCCTCAGCTCCAGGTGCCTAAAAGTACAGATGAAACAGACTACGTTTTTCCTGCTTTCCCTTCTGGGCAGAGCGTCTTCACTGCTGAAGATAAAAGCGAGGAGGGACGCAGCAATGGGAAAAATCAGGCAGGAGGCCCTACAATTACATCAGCACACCACACATCGTCACAGCTAACCGTTTACATGAAAAAGGTCTGAACACATCCCAATAAAGTAAATTGGTACAGCAATAAAGTAAAATCACTTCGGAAAGTGAAAGAGGGTAGAACACTACACTGGGCTGACAGAGATGGGCATACAGCCGGGGTTTAAATCAGCCCAGAAACACACAACCCTCCTGCCAACTGTGTGCCCCCTCTTTCACAGCTTATTTCAATAGGATGCAGTGCGCAGGGGGGAGGGTGGGGGCACTAAGCATTGCAAATATCCAGTTTCGAAGAGCCATTGGCCAACAATACACTAGGGAAATGATGTTGGTTCAAAAATGACTCTGCCCCCGACATTCAGCACCATGTGAGTTGAGCTCTCACGTGACAGCCAATATGTGAACATCACTGGCCTGCTGAGACAGCAAGAAAGGAGCCAGAAAGACGGTCCATAACACCCTATCCTGTGCCTGTAGGCTGTGAGCATCTGAGGTAAATGAAAGCTTAAGCACAGGACAACAGGGAAATAAGGGGGTATTTAGAGGGCCAGGTTTAGTGTCTTGTCGAAATGACAGGTAATTAAAGAGAAGCAAGAAACGGGGTAGGTTTGAGGAGGCACACAGACACCAGGGCAGTCAGAGGGGGGCATCTAGACAGCCAGCAGGAGGGTGATGGGGCAGTGGTCGCTGCCCATGGCCTTGTTGCGGATCTTGCTGTCGCACAGGCTGGGCAGAAGGGCGCTCGACAGCACGAAGTAGTCGAGCCGCCAGCCCACGTTCTTGGCGCGGGCGTTCATCATGTAGGTCCAGAAGGTGTAGGCGTGCGGGCGCTCGGGGTACAGGTGCCGGAAGCTGTCCACGAAGTCCTGCTCCAGCAGGTCGGTGAAGCCCTGCCGCTCCTCGGCAGTGAAGCCTGCGTTCTTGCGGTTGGTCTTGGGGTTGCGCAGGTCGATCTCCTGGTGCGCCACGTTGAGGTCCCCGCACAGCACCAGGGGCTTGCGCTGGTCCAGCCCCTTCAGGTAGGCCCGGAAATCCACGTCCCAGGTCTTGCGGTAGTCGAGCCGCACCAGCCCGCGGCCCGCGTTGGGGACGTAGGCGGTCACCAGGAAGAAGGAGGGGAATTCGGCAGTGATCACGCGCCCCTCCTTGTCATGCTCCTCCTTACCTGCGAGAGGGAAGAGAGGAGGACGATGCCAGAGTGAGCACGCATCGGGCACACACCAGGGCGACTCCCTGAGCCAACACGGGTGACTCCAAATTTCCTTCATCTAAACTGTGACAAGACTGAAGTCATGCTTATTGGCACCCCCCTTCAACTCTGTAAAGCCAATGCTGTAACCCTATCTGTGGATGGTATTGTACTTGAGCTTTAGTCTAAACTGAAAAGCTCGGGGGTGGTTTGACATTCGACCCAAATGTGCATTTCATGTTATCAGTTTCTGTTGTTGAAATGCTGATCAACACGTTTATCTTCTCTCAAATTGACTACCGTAACACTCTACTCACGGGGGTTTCTAAATCCACATTGAATGAACTCCAAAATTGTATGTCCAAAATTTGGCAGCCAGAATCCTGACCAAGTCTAGTGCAAGTGATCACATTACTCCTATCCTGGAGTCCTTGCACTGGCTTCCTGTCAGCTTTCATGTTGACTTCAAAACCCTCATTCTCACCTATAAGGCTCTGCATGGCTTGGCACCTCAGTACCTGTCTGAGCTACTGTCATCCTAGTTCCTGTCTCACAACCTTCACTCCACTAATTTTGGTCTCCTATCTGTCCCCCAAACCCGTCTACACTCTATGGGTGATAGGGCCTTCTCCTGTTATGGCCAAAAGCACCTTCCCTAAACTCTTTCAAATCTAGACTCAAAACCTTCTTCTTTAGAAGGGCCTTTACTTAACTGGTTCTGTTATTTTTCCCTCTGGTCTTACTGTGTTCAGTGCCCCCATCTACCGTCTCCTTTCATTGTGTATTTTCATTGTGCGTATCTTGTGTATTTTGTTTTTGTTGTTCTCATTCTGCAAAGCACTTTGAGAAGCCATGTTTAAAGGTGCTCCATAAAAATATAAATGTTTTTATGACTATTATTATTATTATTATTATTATGCTCTTCCATTCCAGTGATTCCCAGTTCCAGTCCTGGCCATAGCTTTAGCTTTAACATGGCCTAGATGCGCATATAAAAGTCTAAACAAGGAAGCCAACCAGTCACCAATCAGAACCAGTGATTAATGGACCGGCTGGAATGGAAACCAGAAGGTTCCATTGGGCCCAAATAAATTATAGGTTTATTCAATGCTAAAAAGAGAAGAGAGAAAACACAACGTTTCGGCTGTGAAGCCTTCTTCAGGTGCCACTGTCCCAACCTACTAACAGGGTGGGATCAATATAATAGACGTGGCCTCCGCTGTATCAGAGAACTGCAGGGTCTTTCTGTCACTTTCGATCATTTTTATGGTCCGTTTGTTGTGATGTCTGGGTACATCTATTTTCTTCTGTTCATACTGTTGTGTTAATTATGATGTGTTTGTTGTTTGCTGATGGAAAGTGAATCTTACAGGGGGCGAGGGGTGCCCATCCTTTCACACAGTGACCCACGGGCCCCCCAGAGAGAGTATTTGAGCAGGCTCACCAATGCCATAGGTGACGTTCAGAGGCTTGGTCTTGCAGAGCATGGCCACCCCGCTGTACCCCCCCTTGTCTTCGGAGCCAGACCAGTACTTGTGTGGGTACTCTGGCATGTCGGTGATCTCCGCCGGGAGAGACTTCTCCGCACACTTGGTCTCCTGCAGGCAAAGCATGTCGGGGTCTTCCTCGCGCACCCACTGCAATAGAGAGGGGAGTAAGCACGGGGAGAGGAAGTGGTGGCAAAGCAAGATGAAACGAGAAGTGGCACTGTGAGGTGGCGGCCATTTTGGCTCAAGGCCACGCCACAGGGACGGGGTTTTGAGCCAAGATGGGGGTTTCCTTAGTGAGCCACTTCTCACTACATCACAAGGAGTAAGGGTGCAGACTGGATCATCAGACAGTGCGTCAGTGTCTGACCTACAGGTTGCCTCAGACTGCTGTGGTCAGTATAATCACAGCCCATATCAAGACTGATCCTACTAGACCAGAACAGACAGTGGCAGAACAGGGGGTTTTTAACCTAAGAAGCCTTCCCTTTCTAGAGAAAAACCTATCTGATTCATATTATTTTGTGTCACGTATATCTTGATTGCAAGAGCCATGTTCCTCAAACATCCAGGATGGAGACAGCAGCGTGTGTTGGGCTAGAGAATAAAGTACACAAGCACCCGTTCCAAAATCACACACGCATCGGATGAAAAGGCTGTGCTTCACCCGCTTGGTGAATCACAGGAAACTGACTCTGCCGACAGGGCGGAGACGTGTCTAGCGCTGTGCTGCGTCACACGTGCACGTGCACACGAACCCCCCCAAGTCATGGACTCGTGCGCCGGGGGGAGGTGGGATCCTCACCTCCAAGCCCTTCTTCTTCACCCAGGCCCGCAGCCCGTCCACGTTCCACGAGCTGATCTTGAGGCTGGACGGGCGGCCGTCCTCGCTGGTCAGCCGGTCCGGGGAGTCCTCGTACAGGACGGGCGCCTCTGGCTCCTTCCCCGACTTCTTGCTGCGCTTGGCCTCGGGGGCTGGACCGGCGAGGAGACAAGGAGGGAGATCGCCAGCGCAGCGGTTAAAACTCTGGGCTTGTCAGTCACAGGCTGTGGGTTCAAATCCCAGGTGGAGAAGGTGCCGTTGGGCCTCTGATCAGGACTACAGCCAGAAAACGTCCAGCTCTATAACTACAGTTACAACTTTTGCACATGCCACATCTACAGTTTTATTTTTTTTTTGCAATCTGTTAAATTCAGCAAATAAATAGTAACTGTGCATTACAATTTGCAGAAATATGTCAAGTTTAAGTTTGTTAGCTGCAGCGGCTGTGTTAACTTCTTGTCACTTAGAAAACCGACGAAACCTGTAATTTGGCCAGAGGTGCCCAAACTTTTGCATACACCTGTAGGTACAAATGTAAGCCATTTCGGATAGAAGTGTCAGCAGAAAATCCAGACCTCCACAACTTTACACACACAATTTTAGGTTACAGGAGTCTGGAACAAGCCAACCCACCATGAGGCCTAAGCTGATACTTAAATAAAACAGCTGCATGAGACCCTGGGATCCCCATGCTACTAACTGCCAATAAGGGTAGATTTTTCTACCGTAATCTTTGTGTTCTTACACGTCATACACCGAGTCCGCGAGAGAGAGACGGACTGAGGGAGGGAGAGAGGGACAATCCTACTGGGAGAGGGAGGAGGGAACTCAGTTGAACTGGCAGCCCAGTATGTGATCTCCTGTCACAGCCTGAGGAACAGTGAGTCTGTCTCCCAATAATGCTCCAGCCGCCTACAGTATATGTCAATATTTTATAATATGTCTTTGTTGTAAATGTCTGTAATGTGTCTGTAGATTTTATTTTACTTCTATTTTTTGTTTTGTTCCATGTTAATTTTATTATTTTATTTGCTTTGGCAACACTGATTGTACCCATCGGTCACGCTAATAAAGCACCTTGAAGTGAACTGAATTGAGAGGGAGAGAGGGAGGGCCATCACAGACGAGGAGAGAGACAGGGGGTGGTGGGGGGTGTTGGAGGAGATAGGAGAAAGACCTTAAAGGGAGAGCAAGAGAGGCCATAAACGTCTAGTGACAGAGAGAGGAAGGCAAACAGAGAGAATAATTAAGATGACTCCGAAGGAGGGCAGGAGAGGCTCTACAATTCCGTGAGGATTCCGAATTCAATTTATGTGGTTGACGCTTTTATCTGAAGCGGTTCACACTTGATATTGCTGGTTGTTTCTGGAAGACACAGAAAGGGGGAGTTGCGTGGACGTGCGCTGGCTGCATGAAGGTTAATTTCACTGGGAAAAGCAGAAAGAAGAAACACAACACTCAGGAGTCACCCCTGAAGAAATGTCTTGTTTCTTCCTTCCGTTTTTCAGCGTGGAGTCACCCTTCGCTTGCTCTTTACAAAGAGGCAGTTTGCCCAATCCCAGCGACTCGCCCGGCTCATCCGCGCAGTATTCAGCCACTTCCCCCCCTGCACACCTGCGCCGTTGTCTGGCTCCCCGTCGCCCGCAGCCTCCACGTTCTTCTTCGCTCTCTTGGACATCGTCGCCGATCGTCTGTCCCCACTCAGGCGCCGCAGGCACACACGCAGACACAGGCCCCCACCTCGCACGATCCACACACTCACCCCTGGAACAGAGCAGCAACAGCATGGGTAACCACCGCCAGAGCAGCTAACCCCTTCCTGGGGTCACGTGCTGCAGGCCCTATCATCCCAGCGGCATTGGAAAGCACTGACAGCAGGAGACACGTCCTTACACCAAAGGTGGTGGATGCATGGAACAAGACGCTCACTCTGGCTTCTATCAAGAAACGGCTGGATGAGACCTTCTGATCAATGAGATAAGAGAAAGGAAACTAGACCAATCGAATGGCCACATTTCCTTTGGAAATTTATAGTCTCTTTTAAATAAAAAAAGCACAGCAAAGTTCTCAGAATTGGAGCGCAAATGGAGCATTGTTGTGTGAAACTTTCAACAAAGAAGGTTTGCAGCATGCCACAACATGAAGCACAATATAGCCAGCAGCTCCATCACCCTACAACTCACAACTGGCACCACAGTGAAGCTCAGCAGATGTGAGCCTGGTCAGTGCCTGGATGGGAGACTCTTGAGAAAAACAAGGCTGCTGCTGGAAGAGGTATTAGAGAGGCCAGTAGGGGGCGCTCACCCTGCAGTCTGTGTAGGTCCTAATGCTCCAGCATACTGATGGGGACACTATACTTTAAAAGATGCCATCCTTCAGATGAGACTTAAAACAGAGGCCCCGACTCTCTGTGGTCATTAAAAATCACAGGGCACTTCTTGTAAAGGTTAGTGGAGCCAGTTGGGGGTGGTCACCCCACCATCTGTGTGGGTCCTAACACCCCAGTATAGTGATGGGGTGTAGACTATACTGTCTACACAGTGACTATACTGTAGAAAAAAGGCTCTACTTAAAACCGACTAACTCTCTGTGGTCATTAAATCTCCGAGGGTGTTACTCTGGTGTTCGGGCCAGATTTCCTCCTGGCCTTTACCAGTCATGGCCTCCTAATAATCCCCATCTCTGAACTGGCTTAATCACTCTGTTCTCCACCCCACTGAGAGCTGGTGTGTGGGGAGCGTACTGTGCGCACTATGGCTGCCGTCTCATCATCCAGGTGGGGGCTACACACTGGTGCAGGTAGAGGGGTCCCCACTACCTGTAAAGCTCTATGACGAGTGTCCAGAAAAACACAATACAAGTGTAAAGAATTATTACCATCAACGGGGCCACATAGAGTAGGATATATTATTTTTACCACTACCTCCTTCCAACCTACAGTTTGGAAGACGCTTACACAAGCGTTTAAAGTTTAATCGGCTCAGTTCAATGGCTCCCGTGTCACGCTCATAAATCAGAGACCTCAATAGTGACGTTATGTTTCTATTAATTTACATGTGACAGATGGATCCCTGGTGGGTAAACGTATGTATGTATCGCACAGTATTTGTTGATGTCGGAGTTTCCATGTTAAAAAAAAGCGTCTAAGCGCCCCCTGGTTAACCAAGGATATCTTGTTTCAGATCTAAAAATCTACACGGAAATACAAAGCAAACCGGACCGAAAATCCATACAACACATTTCCGCGCGTTATTTTGTGTTTGTTTTTTGTATTAAAATAATTTAATCAATTTCGCTTCGGGATCAATAAAGTCTTATCTATTGTCGTGGTCGCACCAAATTATCCGTGAAAGGCGGACGGAGAGCAGGCTGGAAACAAGGCCTGCGCCAGGCCGTTGCAGCACAATCTGAAATGAGCCTGCAGACCTTAAAACCGCGGGACCGTCTTCTCCGTCAAGCTTAATGCACCCGTACAATCAGAGTCCCCTGGCACCCCAAGTGTATATCCGAGGACGAATGCACTTTTAAGAGTTTAAGATGAAAAGCAGGCTGGCAGGAAAGCTCCGGGCATCGGATAGGGCTTGTAGTGAGCACCCAATATAACCCGCAGCACAGTAATGCGCGGTTTATTTCAGATGATACTGTATTATAGTAACGTTACTTTTTAATACAAAAACAAAAGCTAAGAAACTACCAAGCCCACTGTTTTAAAACTAATAATAGCGTTACAAAAATCGACAACACTTCGTCGACGCTCCCCGTATTACACTTCCGTTAAAGCGAGTGGTCATCAATTCCGATTAATGAGTGGGATGACTTATCAATTGTAATAAACCAGTCCGTGCCCACTCCTGAATACCCCTCTAATCACAATCTCGAGTACAAATAGTAATTACAATCCCACTTACCCGGCACGTCCTCCACTGGCTCAAGTACACAGCCTCACACAACAAAGCACAGCACCACGCAGGACACCATGTGAGACACTAGGGTCTGGCCTTAATTTTCGCCTGATTATTATTATCCACCTGAACTACTTCATTCTTTAGTGACTCTTCACCGGGCTTGCCATTAAAAATAAAATATATTGATATGTGTATTAGAAGAAAAAATTTGCACGTCACTGAAGCATATATCGTGTGGTAAAAGTGTCTCGTTTAGAAGAACGGTGCAAGATACTAAATACGTGTTTAGGTATCGAAACATCTAAACACTAACCAAATTCCTGTTGTTGTTGTTGTTGTTGTTGTTGCTGTTGTTGTTGGTTTTGTTTTAAAGCTGGCGTGATTTCGGACACCCCGAGGTCTTCGCTAAGGTCCTGCGGGGTTGACACTTGTTGGTAAGAAAAGTGTAATTTGGCTTTGGTTGTTATACGTCTTTCGCAAATGTTGTGATGCAAGAAGTATGTTGTTCATATTTTTGCCGTTATTATAAATGAATTATCTTCGTGCTGCTCTGTACTCCTCTACCAGCTGGTGTTGTATACAACTGGCTTAGTCGCAGTGCCCGTATGGCGTGTGATGAATGAAATACCGGCTATTATTGTCCAATTGTGTTATTATTGTATGTGATCCTGTTAAAATCACCTTTCACATTCTTACAACGCACAAACATGAATTATAAAAAGCGATTATTAATCGTTAGCTGTTTATTTTACGCAAAGAACAGCAGTACTGCTCTTAAAATTTCATAAGTCCTGCTGAGGAGAGCCGTGCGATTGTAAATTCAAAAATAACTTTATAGGTTCCTCTTGGGGCACAGGTATTGACAGAATTAATACAGTGCGAATACAGAACAGTAAATGTGCGTAGCAGCAACAGTAATATCCTTGAGTAGCGCTCTTGAGGAATCGTACTGAAACGCGTTCGTTCTGGAATGGGACATTTGTGGAGCTCGGTTAGGATTGAACTTGAAAACCACAGAGATGAACCATGAACGCCGTGTGTACAGTATGTGAGCTGAACTCGAGTGTGACGGTCGAGTGTGCATAGTGGAATAACGAAAATATGACAAGCATGAGATATGTACTACTTCGAAACTGGCAGATGGAAAGTCTGACAAAGCAAAAGCAATAATAATAATTGAATCATAACACCGCAGGAAAAAGGACAGTAGCAAGTGGAACCATAATTGCAGTGGAGCACATCATTTGCTCTTTGTAGTAAGAATATAGTGGGGAAATTTCTGTTTTCTGTTTTTGCTGCAGACAGGTTTTTAATCTCAAGCAAAATTATTTCAATTTAGGCGTGTTTTTAAATGTTCTTTTTGCCCTGAAAAGAGGATTATTAGTAGGAATTGAATTTTATCAACCTTGTGACAAATCCTCAGTTTCATTACTCCCCTCGTCCAGGTGCAATACTTGAAATGCAAAAGATTAGAGCTTTAATCTTTTAATAATCACTCATTATAGATGAGCTTGATGCATTATCATACCTACCTGTCTGCTCATCGTAGAAAGTAGAGAAGAGACTGCATAGTTCTGTAGGCTAAAGCTGCTGGAAATATTGCACTTCAGCGTTTTGCAGAAACCAAGGACTGAGTGCAGAAAATGTCTAAACGAGCAAAGCAGATCAGTTGCCGACGTCAATTAGCACTAGGCATTTAGGTCCCAGCAGAGACGGGGGTCCCTCATAACCAGGCTGAGAACTGAGACTGCTGTGCTGTCTACCTGTCTCCCCTAGGGCCCGCCATGACGGTGGTGATTGGGTTCGAAGGCAGCGCCAACAAGATCGGCGTGGGGATCGTGAGGGATGGAGTGGTGCTCTCTAACCCCCGGCGCACCTACATCACCCCCCCGGGGCAAGGCAAGTCCACTGGCATCTTCCACCGCTGGGCACCGAAGTAGAAACAAACAATGGTGATATTACTGAGCAGCCGGCTAGCAGCATGTTCAGAATGTCAGAGCTGATCTGTATCTTTATAATGGGGTCCTCAATGGGGGGAGCATTATTGTAGCTGTATAGAGGCATTGGAACAGCATGCTATGTTAAATCGCAGATTTGCCAGATTTACCATTCACAACTGCAATTCATATCACCCTGCAATTCACAACTGGCAACCCACTGAAGCTAAGCAGGTGTGACCCTGGTCAGTACCTGGATGGGCGACCTCATGGGAAAAACTAAGGTTGCCGCTGGAAGAGGTGTTAGTGGGGCCAGCAGGGGGCGCTAACCCTGCGGATCATGTGGGTTACACTATAGTGACGGGGACACTATACTGTAAACAGGCGCCGTCCTTCGGATGAGACGTAAAACCGAGGTCCTGACTCTCTGTGATCATTAAAAATCCCAGGGTGTTTCTCGAAAAGAGTAGGGGTGTACCCTGGCGTCCTGCCTTTATCAATCATGGCATCCTAACAATCCCCCTCTATAAATTGGCTTAATTACTCTGCTGTCCTCCCCACTGATCGCTGATGTATGGTGAGCGTTCTGGCGCACTATGGCTGCCGTCGCATCATCCAGGTGGATGCTGCACATTGGTGGTGGTGGAGGGGATCCCCATGACCTGTAAACCTGTAAAGAGTGGAGTGTCCAGAAAAGCGCTATAAAAGTGTAAGCACTATTAGTATTATTAATTTTTATTATTAATTTTAATTAATAATCAAATTAATTATTATTAATTTGTGTTCGTGACGGAGGTATTGCAACAGAGGCAGAATCAGTTGTTAAAACCTCTGCCGCACAAGGGGAGAACTTATGATTTCCCAACTAACTTTTATTAACAAGTTGAATTCATGTATTTGTCCCAAGGTTACCGTCATTTCAGTATAGTATTTGGTTTTTGTGGGTAAATCAGATGGTGGCATGGCGGTGCCGTGGTTAGCATTGCTGCCTCGCAGCTCTGAAGCCCCGAGTTCAATGCCTAGGGTGCTGTCTGTGTGGAGTTTGCGTGTTCTCCCTAAGTTTGTATGGGTTTCCTCCAGGTGCTCCGGTTTTCTCCCACAGTGCACAGACACACTGGTAGGTTAAGTGGCTTTGGGGAAAAGTGGCTTTGGGGAAAACTGGCCCTGGCATGCATGCGCCAGTGCGTGCGTGTTTGTGTCAGTTTCTGTTTGTGCCCTGCATAGACTGGCGTCCCGTCCAGGGGCTACCCAGCCTTGTGCCTGTTGCTCTGGCTCCCCTGTGACCCTCAATTGCATGAGGGGGTTAGAAAATGGATGGGTGGGTTGATGGGTAAATCAGATCTACGGGTAGCTGCAGTGTATTGCGATAAAGGAAATAAAACATTGCAATATTAAATTATTGATTGCTTAAAACATTTCTAATGGACCGCTAAAATTGTTTTGTTTTTTTAACCTACCTGCTCGTTGACCCCCAGGGTTCCTGCCCAGCGAGACAGCCAGACACCACCGTGGAGTTGTCCTGACAGTCCTCAAGGAGGCGCTGCAGCAGGCTGGCCTCACGCCCGCTGACATCGACTGTGTGGCCTACACCAAAGGTGGGGCTGTCGGGTGGCTAAGCAGGATGACAGCCTCTGACTGGCTCGGTTTTGATCAGACTCTCTGTTCCCTCACCTTCTGTCTGCTCTGTTCGGCCCTGTCTCTATCCGTCTCTGTGTCCTTGTTCGATAAACCTACCCATGGAATGTGGGTATATCTATGTTACCTTTTCTTCTCTCTGTCTGCACGCACTGTTGCCACTGGGGTCTCTTGTCCCTCTAAATTAATTGCTATATAAATGTACTAAATTGATTGTTCTCTGAAAAAAACAAAAGAATATTCTGAATGCTCAGAATTATGCCAACAGGGACACATAAGCTTCACTTTTTCCTGGTTTCTTGGAGATGAACAGGCGTGTGCTGCCAGGGACAGTGCTGCAACAAGCCCCTGACAGGGGATTATGGGAGCAAGCCATTGCTCTCCCAGTGTTCTCTCTCCTGTAGGGAGTTCAGGGTGCTGTAGCTAGCATGCTGTATTAGTTCCGTTGACTAGATTAAACCAAACGTTATTTTCTGCAGTAATATCATTTCACATTCCTTTTTTCATCTGCCTTGTGCCCCCTGTCTCTCACCCCCCTCTTTCCTCATTGAACCTTTGTCTTCTCCTTCCCCCTCGATCCTTCTTGTCCCTCTGCAGGGCCCGGGATGGGCGCCCCCCTGGTTACCGTGGCGATAGTGGCCCGAACAGTAGCCCAGCTGTGGAGGAAGCCACTGCTGGGCGTCAATCATTGCATCGGCCATATCGAGATGGGGCGTCTCATCACGGGGGCAACTAACCCCACCGTGCTGTACGTCAGTGGGGGCAACACACAGGTCAGTGGAGCGGACACGCAGGTCAGGGGTCGAGAGGGTGATTAATGATCATGAGCAGGAGTAAGGACAAGGTCTCCAACAGGTCACTGCTCAGGAGTTTGGTTTGGGTTGAAACATCCCACTTTTTCATGCCTGTCTGGTGTTCTGTGGTTTGTTTGTATACATTACACAGTGGAAGTGGGTTTGTTGTGGGTTTCTGAAAGGGAATATGCAGGGAAATGTTTGTTCATTTATATAACCCTCCTAACATTCTTTATAATCGTGTTTTGCATTGATAGGATGCTCTCTCAGCAGTGGAGCAGTGCTGTCTGTGAGCTGATGCCTAACAGGTTGAGAAAAGCCTATGGACAGAGCTGGCAAATAAGCCCATCAAAGTTCACACTTAGCCTGTGAGCACAGTTACTCTCAATCGCCAGCTGGAATTGGAAAGATCCCATTACAAAGCCTAGCAGTGTGACTTGGCCATTAATTCTTGGCACAGTTTCCGAGAGGTGTTTCCCTATTGTCGGTGCAGAATCTAGTTGTCCATTTTCATTTTGCTTATACCTGATTAGTTTAAAATAATACTTGAGGTCAACATTTGATCCCTTAAATGGAGAATATAAAATTCAATGAAGCCTTCCCTTTGCTGTCATATTGTGCGCGTGTGAGAGTACAGATACAGTGGGCGATGTGATAAGGCATGATCTGTCTCGTCCCAGGTGATCGCATACTCCGAGCGGAGGTACAGGATCTTCGGGGAGACCATCGACATCGCTGTGGGAAATTGCCTGGACAGATTCGCACGCGTCATCAAAGTAATACTCGGGGCAGCTGCTCTTGGAGCGCATCTTGCATGCGTGAGCTTAGCGTAGTGCCAGTTGAAGACTTGCGTTCTGCCCACACTTCCAGTTAACATGTGCCGCCTTCAGTCAGCTGTTAAAAATTGCCACGTTTTGCAAAGCTGTCGGCTCATCAAATCACCAGCAGCAAATGTCGGCTCCGTGAAGGCTTCAGTAGAAAGGGCTCAATCAGTTTAGGTTCGAGTCTGGGTCTTGTCACTAGCTGACTGTGACCATGATTCCCCCAGCAGTGGGCCACTGGGAGGAGAGCTGGGATTAGTCCGCTGGGGTCGACTTTCCCCTGCGGGTTTGTGGTGACATCTGTGAAGGATGCACCTCTCTTCCAGTCTGCTCTGATCCCCCTCTGTGTGTCTTTGCAAGGTGTGAACTATGTCACATAACTTGGAGAGTGAGGTGAGTGGGATGGGAAGAGCCCATCTGTAAATCCTCAAGCTACCTCTGTGGGTATAGGGTCATCTCTGTGAGAATGGGGTGGACATGCAGTACAAAATCTATAAACATAATCAGTCACTGGCAGCCTTCACTTTTTGGAAGAGTTACAGTGGAAGTCTGACGTTCAGTTTTCTGTAATCTGTGGCTACACACACAGTGCAGAGCTATTGCTCGATTCTTTCTACAGCAATGCTCTCCATATATTTTAAGACTGACGGTGCTGTGAGCAGCAGCGGTGATCTGATTTTCAGAGCCGGGGGGACAGCACGGTCCAGAAGGCTGCTTCTCTCTCGGCTCCCACTCCTGATACTGTTCTCCTTGTGTTCAGATCTCCAACGACCCCAGCCCTGGATATAACATCGAGCAGATGGCTAAAAAGTAAGTCTTCTGCCCGTGTGTCACTTCACGGGCAGCAAAACATTTTCTATGCTTTTTTCTGTCTCCACACAAAGTCTAGTTCAAATATAAAACAGTCTGTATATCTATAGAAGCATCAAAGGGTGGGGGGGGGGGCATAATGGCTGCACACTCCAGGGTCCTGGGTGCGAATTTTGCCTCGTATCCTTGGATCTCTGTAATTGTGGAGCTTGCACGCTCTCCCCCATGTCTGCAGTGTGTGGTCCAGATTCCAACTTGCACCTGCTACTTGGCTAAATAACTTCATGGGCTTACTGCTGATGGATAAGTGGATAAATCCCAAACTCCTAAAAACGGCCTTTTTTCACTTCTAGAGATCCAGTCTTGTTCTCGAGCTCATTATTTCTCCCCGTCTGTCTGTTCTGTGCGTCTCGGCAGGAGCAGCCGGTTTGTGGAGCTGCCCTACACAGTAAAGGGGATGGATGTGTCGTTCTCGGGGATCCTGTCCTTCGTTGAGGTGAGGAGGGGAAGAGGCCGCACAGCTGTGAAATACACACCTCCTGTTGAGCAGCCAGTAGCGTGGGCAGCACCTCTCCAGCAGCCCCGTTGTACTTTGTGTTACCTGGAGACGGCAGACAAGTTGTTAAGTCGGACCATGCTGCAGTGAGGTTGTTAAAAGGTTCCTTTGCACTGTAGGTAATAGGACTGTACAGGAGTCCCAGCTATCACATAAATTCTTCCTTTTAAACATCTGTTACAATGCTGGCATTTTACAGAATAAGCTAAGATTGACTCTTCTTTAACAGTTCCTTTCTTTTCTCTTATGTTTTAACATAAGTGCATTTAAACCTGAAAACAGGAAATGTTTTTTTTTTACCCACAGGGTGGTGGGAGTGTGGAACAATCTGCCTGCCTGTGTTGTTGAAGTATCAATCTGCTACTGACTAGCAAATGGGCCACATACTGTAGGCCAAAAGGCCTCCTGATTTCTAACATTATGCTCTTAAGTTCCTGCCTGTTGTTTATACCTTCCATGCATGCCCACCTGAGTTTTCAAAGTTTTAACCAGAACAATAGTATTTTTTTTTTTGCAACCTGAGCCCATATTGTGAGCAGATGTTTTTATGAATTAGGGAGGTGTTAAGGCCTGGTCAGTGGGTCAGTAGGAGTGACCCTGCTCTGACTGGAAGTGTCCTGTCCTGCAGGAGATGGCGCACAAGCTGCTGGGCTCGGGCGAGTGCAGCGCCGAGGACCTCTGCTTCTCCCTGCAGGTCCGTCCGCTCGCATCTGTTTGTTCTCCTTTCGGCAATCGGGACTTTGTTGTGCATATGGATAGGAGGGAAAATTAAGTCTCAGAGTAAAGTAATCCTGCAGCCAAAGGACAGATTCGCCACAGTTTCCTTTCCTGCGAAGACAGGGTGAAGGAACTGGAGATAGGAGCACAGCTACATGGTAATTGGGAGAAAGGTATAAAGGCTAATGTTGGGTCCAGTCAGATTTTAAAAGGGGAAAGGAATGAATGGGAGAAGATGTTTATAAAAGAGATCAAGGTCCACGGAACACTATGCAGTAACACTTTAAACATTTACTCTAACCTCTCTATATCCATTTCCTGCCTTGTTAATATCCTGTGCTATCTATGTGCTTCATCACTTCCTGGGTCTGTGCAATATTTAATGATTTCAAAATAAAGACCTCAGCAGCCTAGGAGAAACACATCTGGGTCCGTCCTCATGAAGGAAATGATTCATATCTCTCTCGGGAAGCTGTGCAAGCAGGAGACACGGAGAGACAGAGAGGCAGTTGCACCATCAGGCACGGGGGACCAAGCTGTGGTGTAGGGAGCTATGCAGTGTCATTCACTCTGCACCTCCCTCTCCCTCATTGCCTCATTATCTGGATCTCCCTCCTACCTCCATCCCTCCTACTCATCCTCATCCTTGCTCTTCCCCTTGCCCCTTTCTGCCCCCTCTGTCCAGGAGACGGTTTTTGCCATGCTGGTGGAGATCACGGAGAGGGCAATGGCTCACTGTGGCTCCCAGGAAGTCATGATTGTCGGAGGGGTGGGCTGTGAGTATTCCCAGTCAGCTCTCCACTTTCAGATTGTACACTCGCCGCATGGCGCCACTTTGGAGAGGCACAGATTTGAAATGCTGCTTCGGCATTTTAGGTTATTTGAGATTTCGAATTTAACTTTGACACCGGACGAACCATTGTAGGCATCCCAGACGTGAACATTTACCTGGCTTGGTTGCAGCTGTGTAATTTTTTATTCATTTGCAAAGAACGGTTAGCATGAAATCCTAATAAGTTAGACTTTTAAAGCCTCGTCACAGATGTAATTTTCTTCTAGCAACATAGCATGGCACGCTGCAAGGACATCAAGGCGCTGCACAAGAGTTTTTGCAGAAATTAGCAGAGAGACCACAAGAACACCGTCACGCATTTTAACATGGAAAGCCAGTGTAAACGGCGATCGTTGTCCATCTGGTCGCCATTTAGATCTCTCTTTACTATGGCCGCACGAGTCTCCTAGTGGGTGTCTCTCTCTCCCCCCATCATGCTCCTCTGTTCTTCCCACGCTCCCTTTCTTTCTCTCGATCCAGGCAACCTGCGGCTGCAGGAAATGATGGGGGTCATGTGTGCAGAGAGGGGGGCTCGCCTGTTTGCCACGGACGAGAGGTGAGAGCAGGAGACCGCAGCCGCTGCGGTGGGCAGAGCCTGGGGGTTTGTGCTCACCTGCAGGGGAGGCAGCGTGGAGAACATGGGCCTCTCTGTCTGCTGTGCAGTAGCTCCAGACCAGCCTGCTGCCCACAAGACCTCTTCTTTAAATAAAGGACCAGAGGTGTTTTTTTTAGGCTGAATTTCCTGCAGTGGATAATGGTAAAGAGATACCAAAAATAATTATATAGTTTAAATGCATATTAGGAACATTGCCTTTGTGTTTATTAGGGTGTTGTGTTGATAAAAAAAAAAAGGTTGTGAACAAGAGAAGGGGCTTGCACTTTTCCCAATAATGGGTTGGCCACTAGAGACCGCCAGTGAAGCATTTTAAGTATCTTCGGTCTCAAGAAGTCGAGAGAAGATGATTCTGCCCATCTTGCTCATTTAGTTGGTAATGGCTAATAATTGATCTGAAGTTCCAGCCAAGGTATTGGCATCAACAACATAGATGGGTAACTTGTTCCATTCTTCCACAAACCAGAACAGGTTCTGTAGTGATATTGCAGAGGTGATTTTTGTGTCTCAGGTTCTGTATTGATAATGGGGTGACCGCACTTGTGTCTCAGGTTCTGTACTGATAAAGGGGCGATGACGCCTGTGTTTCAGGTTCTGTATTGATAACGGGGCGATGATTGCTCAAGCTGGCTGGGAGATGTTCCGCTCGGGACAGGTGACAGAGCTGAAAGACTCCTGGATCACACAGAGGTAGCGCCGCTGTTGTCAGTACCATTGCTGCGACTGATGTTGCAAATGCCACCACTGTCGGCACACCTGCTGTTACTTCTGGGTTTCAGAGCACTGTGCATCATCCTTGTCTTTTCTCAGTCACCTTTTCTGATTTTGTCATCTGAAGATAGTAGTTGAAATATTGCTTATGCAGGGTAAACAGGGCTGTTCGTAGGGCGGTGCAGGTCCCAAGTCAAATCCTATTGAACAAGTCTTTTTCCTGCACCATCGCTTTGTTAGCTGTATCAACTACTACTCACACATTTTACAGATGGTGACAACCATATATAACACTAAAAGCAATCACAGGCGGCTTCTTTGATGGAGCGCAAAGAATCAAAAATCAGAAAGAATAGTGAAATGTGGTTATGGTTATTTTTGTCAGAAACATATCATTTAGACAGATGACCGTTACAGGCTTATTTTTTCACAATTACTTGAAATGGAGAAAAATGTAGTACAAAAATCACAGCTGATACACTGTTTAAATGGACTGCATGGAAAATGTGGTCCTCTCAAGAAGATCTGTGAAAAAAACACTGCTGGAATTTCTTTTTCACTGAGATAAACAAGCATCTTTAAATATATGTTACAATATATAAGGTGTGTCTCTCCCCCAAGATAATTTTTCTCTGTAAATTGTTGTGGACTGTTTTCAGATGCCTGTACATTGTGTACAGACAGGTGTTAAAAGTGTAATAATGGGTTATGTGTTGGACGCCTCTTGTGATATATTTACATATGTGTGTGCATTGCTGTTGCATTGCCTTGTAAGGAAAGTCACGGCACGTCCCTGTGTCTGACTTCTCAGTTACACACTGCAGGGGCTGGGGAGGCTGCCAGTTTCGCATGTATACAAATCGTGACGTGTGCTTTAGGGATCAGAACCTTGCATTGACAGAGGGTGATTGACATGAGTTTGTCTGATTGACAGGTTCCGGACAGACGAGGTGGAGGTGACGTGGAGGGACTAGACGCTGGCGGCCCTGCGATCTCATTTTCGGTTGACCGGCATGTATTTAAGGATAAATCCCTGACCTCACTGACTTTCAGAAAGAATGACCTGAGTCTCAGGAAAGAAGCAGTGCTGGTCCAGGTTGCCTCCTGTGTCTGTGGAGGTGAACAGAGACTGCTACTCCACATGGTGGGGTGGGTTAAACAGCCAAAGAAGGCAGAGATATCTGACCACACAGCCCCAAGAACTGGGGAAACAAGGCCACCGTTTGAAAATAGCTGTATCAGTACTCTTTCTGTTTTCATAATAAAGTCACTATACTTCTAGTATGCTGACAGATTTTAATTCAGAAGACAGTAAGTGAACATCTGAATTGTACATCCTGCTGCTGCAGAGAAAGGGGTTGAACTAAACCCCCACATTCCCAGTCTGTGTGCGCACTTGTGAGAGGGTGTCCTTAACATGCATTTCAGAAAGTGAGTGAAGACAGGTAGGCCCTTTGAGAAACATTCTGCTTTATTGAAAGAGCAAGGACTCTGCCCTGTACTGCTGTAAAAAACACAGATCAAAAATTGACACTTCACTAGATATACACAAATAAGCTGATATAGAATGTCTCTGCCTAGAGATTGTACACATTTAGCTGATTGTTAGAGCAGACTGAAGACTGAGCCTTTATAGTGGAGGATTCCTCTCACCAACATCCCTCTGTCCCGTTGTCTGAGCCTAAGATAGCCTTTTCTGCACAGGAAAGCAGGAAAACGTCTACATTATCATCTCATTCATGCTTGACAGCGTCCTACTTGAATGCATTATAGTATAGACTTTTTTAAAGAGAGTCTCTACAAGTGGATCGTTCAAGCGTACATTTTTTCAACGCCCCGTCTCGTAGTAGTCGGCAGGGATGCCTGGGCTGATGAGTGATCAGAAACGCGCGGGTTGGGAGATTTACTCCTTTTTCAGCCAAGTCTGACTGAAGACTGGCTCTGCAGGTTGGTTACACTGCAGCCATTCAGGTGGGGATACTAGGCGAAAAGGAGGCAATTGAAACAAAGGCTACGCTGCTGGAGGAAAAAAAGGATTTAACACAATGGCTGACATTCACATGCATTCCCCTCTCCGCCTCCTTCTTCCATTTGACCTCTCTGACTATTCCGCCCTTCCTCTCCCCTCTCCTCCCACGTCCCTCCACTGCCTGTCCCCATCTTCCTCTTCACTCCACAGCTGACTCTTCCTTCTCCTCTTTCATTCCCCCACTTGTGGCCTCTCTCTCCTCACTGGGCCATCTGCACCACCACTGCCTTCCAGGCCTTGTCCTTGTCGAACTCCCGCACCGCACCATTGGAAACCTGTTGCTGAGAGAGACGGGGAGAGAGGAGGCCCAAGTTAGAGTTCTGTCGTTCTTCTAATTAATATATTTTCAGTCATGCTGGATTTTTACCCTCCCTGTAGCCTCTTCTCTGCCTGACTGTTGCTTTGTGTGGCTCAGGTTTGAGACTAGGCTGTTCACAGAGACTAGTGTGCCTCCCACCCGCAGACCGTGTCAACGCAGTAGAGTGCATTGTAGTAGGTCAGTGTGTTGCTGCGTGTCTCGGGAAAACGGACGGATCTCCCGGGGTCTCGGAATCCCCTGTGTTGTCTCTCGGGGTGGCGGTCTGTGTACCTCACTGGGCCGGGGGGAGTGCTGCGTGTAGGAGGGGCTGCCCCAGTCCGGCTTCCCCAGGCGGAGCTCGGTCTTGAAGGATACGCAGTGCAGGACAGTAGCCAGGGTGAGCACAGCCTGCACCAGCAGCAGCACCATGAGGATCAGTAGCAGGATATCATAGGATTGCTGAGGGCCGATATACAATCCGTGTTACACACACTGCACGATGCACAGAGTATTACATTGATTCATATAAGGTTTCCATATCAGTGGTTATTATAATTAGTAACTCTATTAATAGTTCCAATAGTCACAGAAGCTCTAGCAGTTGTAAGTTCTAATATTAATGGCAGTACTGAAGTATTAGCAAGACTTGGTTTGATATTAATAGCAGTGTTGGCATGACCACCGAAATGCTGCAATGTGGACCTGGAGCAGCGGTATTGAGGGTTTTGGTATGAGCAGTAACAGCAGCAGTCTGAAACAGTGTACCAGGCGTGGGCAGGTGGGTGGGTGTCAGTACAGACCTTGGCCACGGGAATCTCGTGCAGGAAGATGTTAACAAAACGCAGCACGCTGCAGGACAGGAACCCCGAGGCCGAGAACAGGAGGGGGGACGTCACGCTGCTGATCGCGATCAGGACCTCCACCTGGGCAGAGCGACGCGGAGAGCTGTCACTACGCACGTCGCTGGCTCTGCAGCCGCAGAGGCCAGGCTTGTGTGTTCAAGAACCGGCAGCCAGCCCGTTACTGGAAGATCTTCATCGTCAGCACAAGCTTGGCGAGCTTTCATTTTATGCCGTGCCCCTACGATAAATAACCAATCTGGAAAGCCGTAGGTAATTGCAGTAATTGAATTGTTTAAAATAATAATAATCCCTTACACTTATATAGAGCTTTTCTGGACTCTCCACTCAAAGCGCTTTACAGGTGATGGGGGCTCCCCTCCACCACCACCAGTGTGCAGCCCCACCTGGATGATGTGACGGCAGCCATAGTGCACCAGTACACTCCCCACACACCAGCTCTCAGTGGGGAGGAGAGCAGAGTGATGAAGGATTATTAGGAGGCCATGACTGGTAAACGCCAGGGGAAACTTTGGGGTAACATCCCTACTCTTTTTGAAAAACTCCCTGGGATTTTTAATGACCACAGAGAGCCAGGACCTCGGTTTGTGGTCTCATCCGAAGGATGGTGTCCCCGTCACTATACTGGGACATTAGGACCCACACAGACTGGAGGGTGAGCGCCCCCTACTGGCCCCACTAACACCTCTTCCAGCAGCAGCCTTTGGCTTTCCCAGGAGTCTCTCCTCCAGGTACTGACGAGGCTCACACCTGCTGAGCGTCAGGGGGCTGCCAGTTGTGAACTGCAGGGTGATATAGCTGCTGGCCATCGATGGCAGCAAGCACAGTGTGGGGTCAGTGTAGTAGGTGCCAGGGCAAAACATTAGCGTCCAGCTGTGGACAGTGGAGAACTTGCAGCCGTAGGGGGGCTCTGCCGTTCGCAGTGGTGTAGTGTCAGTTCCCGAGGAGCACTCACCAGGCACTTGTTGGGATACTCTGCCACCACGTGGCTGGCGATGGCACTGGGGAAGCACTGCGGGCGGACAAAGACAAACGGACACTCGGATTAATAACGGGAGCGGTGCTGAGGTGGTGCCAGGCAGGAAAGCCAGAGGAGGAATGACCTCTGGCCACGCCCTGTCTTATAGAGCCGGGACGCGCACCCCAGACCCTGGTCTTTAAGAGGCCCTTAATACAGGACTGGAAAGCTGGGGGAACTGTTCAGGTTTCATCCACCTCCAAACCCCGTCTCCCTCCCCCTTTGACATGACCTCATATCCCCCCAGGCCCCCGTAATATCCCATTTCCCCCAGATCCCCTCCCCCTCCCTCCTCCCCAGGCCTCAGCCACTCCACACGCACGGCCACCAGGATCCAGAAGAAGGTGACGGAGAGGTAGGGTCCTGGGACGAGGGCATCCATGTTGAGGGCAATGATCCCGCCAAACACCGCCGATATCCCCACGATCACCTCGATCACCTGCAGAGGGAGACAAAGAGCGCCCTCAGCCACTGCCACACCGTTTCCAACACCACTGAAGAGAAATCTGTAATAATAATAATAATAATAATAAACAACTTTATTTTGCATAGCACCTTTAAAAGCAGCTTCTCAGAGTGCTTAACAGTAAGAAAAAACAATGACGGGAGATAACAGAGTCATCATAATTAAAAACAAGGGCTTAGAATGCACAAGAAGATGCAAAGGCGGAAAACACTTTAAATGAAAGCTTTTCTGAAGAAGAAGGTTTTGAGTCTGGATTTGAAAGCGTTCAGGGAAGGAGACATTCTGATATCCTCAGGGATAGAGTTCCAGAACTGTGGGGTTTAGCAGGAGATGGCCCTGTCACCCATAGAGTGTAGACAGTCTTGGGGGACGGATAGGAGACTAGAGTCAGACAAACGATGGTTGCAAGGTGGGGAGCAGGAAAATAATAAATCAGAGAGGTTCTAAGGGGCCAAGCCACGTAGAGCTTTACAGATGAGCATGAAGATTTTGAAGTCAACACGAAACCTGATAGGTAACCAGTGCAAGGACTCCAGGACAGGAGTAATGTGATCATTTCTCACACGACCCGGTCAGGTTCCCGGCTTTTGAATTCTGGACATAGATCCGTGGTTTCTAATGAAAGGCTTCGAAAAATTCCTGTTTACCAAGATCAGGCCTGACTGCATCTGATATACCTCTACACACAGGAAGCAGAAGGAAAGAGAAGGAAATGTGTGGAGTTCAAGAGGTCAAGGGTCAGTAAGTGTGTCACTCACAGAGTAGGACTTGAGCAGCCTGGTGGGAAAGCACAGGGGTTTCAGAACCACAGGGGGCTCAGAGGTCACAGGCTGTGGAGAAACAGAGTGTTTGTCAGCACGGTAGTGTCCTACACTTTGTTAAGGATACACTGTCCTAAAAATCCAAAAAGAGTGTTGTGTCACAGGGCCTCTGCTTCATTACTGAGACAGAAGTTGTCACTTGG